GCGGTTACAAAAAATGACCCTTTCCAACCATATTATGTTTCAGATATATATCCAGATGCAGATGTACGCACGCATACACCGGAGTAGCCCAGCATCCGCGAAAGAGAGATGAAGAGCGTGCGTGCGAAAAATGTGCGAATTTATTTGTCGGGTTAACCCGGATAGTAATTATATCTCCATATTATCTTATCGACCAGTTATATATCGGGGAAGTATAACAAGTAGATATCTGTATTGTGACCGTTTTATCATCGGAGGACAAAACGTAGGGCGAAGGCCTCCCGTCGCTCGTTAACAAATGACTACTAATTACGGTCATTTATTATGTTACCCACATATTAACTTTTATACGGGAATGACTTTAGCCATTCTAACGTGGTTTCTTTTGAACATCGTTTCCGTGAGCGGCGATTCAGTTACACTATTAAATATTAAAAGATTACATTTAAATTAATATCTTCAGTTAAATAACATATTGTTACTTTAAACTGCCATGTGTTTCAAAATTTATTATTTTAATACAAAACAGTATTATTTTAACTTCAGTTTTAGTTAAATTAGCGACATATTGAGTAGGAGCGGTAGCGACTTATAGCAATGATTAAAAATGAGTATATTTTGACTTAACAGTGTACGACGTCCTGTTTAATCGTTCAAGAATACGTGAACGGAATCGACGAGCTATTGCGACTCCACATATTTTCGGTAATTAGAAAATGTAGCGTATTATTTTAATCTTTATCTTCTTAATAATTAATATATGTTTATTGAAGAATACCACGCAACCCCTTTATTATAAGATAGTGCTACAAGTCAAAAGTCTCGAGATGACGTCTGCTACGGAGGAAGTCTGGAGTACAATCAGACAAAAAGTTAATTTTTTTTAAATGCTCTCTTTTTTTAGAGTTTTCCGCTCCATTAATTTTCCAGATTTTCCTTGTTGTTAACTAATTGTAGCGCGCTTCTGCACGAGCCGCCCGTACGCGAGAACAATAGCCCGCGTTAGATTATAGAGTATATCTCGCAAGCTACATTGTGCTGATTGTACTCTATTAGGGGACCGCTATCGGTCCGCGGTAATAGTCCGCATTTTTCTCGCTATACATAACGCTCGAACATATAACTACGTAAATGAACGGATGTGATTGCGCCCCACTCTTTCCCCGCCACATTGCCGCCACACGTTTTAGTACCGGATGTGGCTGCCTGAATTTCGTATTACATCAATACCGAACGGCAACCGCCGTATTAAGACGCGAGAGATTAAACCGTTTAATTGAGTGCCGAGCGTGTGCGCGCGCGATGTGTGCGCGATGTTTGCGTGAATCGTGAATAGCGTACGAATGGCGACTTCGTGCTGGGACCGAATCGCCGCGACGGAGTAGATCTCCATCACGTGGTTCCCTTACGCTCGCGGTTGCATTTAGGAGCGAAACAATTACGACGTTGTTCGCGAGAAGGTGAACGAAGAGGGAAGTGTACGATGGCGGGAAGGAAGAGCGAGAGAAGGCGCGCGCGCGCGTGACACGAATACGTCCGTCCGCGTCGCCGTCGCTACGAAAACGATAAAAGCTCGCGATATATTGGCGGCCGCGCGCGGCGGGCCCGAGGTCAAGCACGCCGTGCACGTGAAAGCATCCGGTGTGGTGTGTGTGATGCATCGCGTTTGTACGACGCGTAAATACGAAGCCGCATTCGTCGCATCCATCCGCTGATCCGCGTCTGTCAGCACGCTTCACGCGTTCACGCTCCGCCGGGTTGTGGCGCGAACCGAACGTACCCTTTTGGCCCTTCGGCTTTTTGGCGTTTCGACTTTTCCGCGGCGCGGCGGAAGGAAGAGCCCGAAGAGCGCGAAGAGAGCGGTACCGCGGCCGCGGAGATTCCACCTTCCACCACCACCACCACCACCTCTATCGCGTGCCCTACTGTCACGACTCGCGAGAAGAGCACGCCGGCCTCGGCGACCTCGGTGTCCTCAGCGAGCCTCAGTTACACGCCACGGGGTTGAGAAGGCGGACCGCGCTCGCTCCATCCTCCGACCTCGGCGCCCCGACGTGCGTCGCGCCGCGGAGAGGAAGGAACCCCTCCGTCCCGTTCTGTCCCCCTCCCCCCCGTTTTGTGCACGTCGTGGACTTTTCACACCCACGTCCCTGGACTAATTAATCAGAGAAATAAATATTTGCCCGTGACGACACGTCGTGCGCCCGGTCGATCGATCTACCGTCGATCAAACTCTTTCTTTCTTTTTCTCTCTCTCTCTCTCTCTCTCTCTTCTCTCGTCGAGGAGGCTCGGACTCTCCACGCGACTTTTCCCGCTCTTTCGATGACGCACGCACGCGGATGACGCGAGGACAGCGCGCAGTCAGCGACTTTAAATTAACTATACCAACGCGACGCCGAAATCAGGAAGCGAGTAAGATTTCGCTCGATACCGAATCTCGGATCGAAGGTGAACCGGTCGTGTCCGGTGTTTCTTCGCTTCGCTTCGCTCCGGGTCATCGGAAAGTAAATGAATCGATTGATATATCGATGAGGATAACGGCGACGCGCGCGAATGTGAGGTGTGACGCACGAAAGCGCGAAAAGGCACGAGGCGAAGTCGCGGCCTCCTTCTCGCCGTCGTTTCGTGGCGAACGCGAAATTCGCGTGACACGCAAGCTCTATTAGATGATATCGCGCGGAAATCATCTTACGCGCTCGCGTAACTCCGGACTCCGTATGAGTAATGGACGGGAAACGCAACGGTCGCTAACGTGTCACGCGATCAGCGAGCGACCGACCCCCGATCGATCGTTCCTTCGCTCCTTTCGGACAAACGGAAGCGGAGTCGTGTAGCGCAAGACCGAGAAAAATCGGTTCGGAAAGAATAGTAAAAAAAGAAAAAAAAGAGAAAATTCGAGAAACCGCGAAGGTTCGACTGATCTGGGAAGGAAGAGGAGACGAAGCGCGAGACGCGGACGGACAGTGACGTCGTGTGAGTTTCCGAGAAGACTCTCCCGGAGTCTCGGTGGTGATTTATAGAGACGGAAATTGAGATATCTGACAACGGACAAGCTCGATAATTATAGCCGAGGAGAACAACTCTCTCGGAGATCTCTCGGGCCCGCGAATGACAAATGTTGATCCTCGCCTTTAATATCTTCGCTCCGCGAGGAGCTCCGGCGGACGAGGGCGAAATTTTATGCCCGACGCGAGCGAGAAATAGAATGTGCGAATCTAGAACGCAAAAATAGAAGCGTGGAAAATTGATCTAACGAAATTTCTCACAGCCAATTTCTCTCTCGGCACGACGAGCGCACGTGGCGCGCGAGCGCGCCCGCGCGCCGAATATATTCGAGACTCGAGAGAGAGAGATATTAATTGAGCGCTTAAAGATTCGAGAGATATCGGACCTCCTTGAGGACGGCGCGGCGATGACTATCGCTTACATCACTAGAAAGTATCGCGACGTCACGATTGCTCCGGATCGATCCCGTGTCGCGATATAGAGGAGCGTCATGCTTCGCGGCCGTGAAGCGTCGACGAGGAACGCGCTTCGTGCAATCGTCCCGCGTCCCCGAGGGCGCCAATAAGACCATCCGCATCCGCCGGTCGCGGTGTATGCCGATGGTCGTCGCGATGGGATTTCCGTCGAACGCGACCGATCCGCCGTACGATTACTTGGACCACACCGGGCCGACGAACGCGTCGTCGTCCCTGGGCGCGGAGCTCAACCTGCCGTACACCGTTTGCGAAATCCTGGTGGCGATCTGCGCCGTTATCGGCAACGGCCTGGTGATCATCGTCTTCGGCAAGGAGCGGAAGCTGCGTCGACGCACCAACTACTACATCGTCTCGCTGGCGACGGCCGATCTGCTCGTCGGGCTGTTCGCGATCCCGTTCGCGATCCTCGCGAGCATCGGCCTGCCGACGAATCTTCACGCCTGCCTGTTCACCGTGTCGGTCCTCGTCGTCCTCTGCACCATCAGCATCTTCTGCCTGGTCGCGGTGTCCGTCGATCGTTACTGGGCGATTCTGCATCCCATGAGATACTCGCGCACCGTACGCACCAAAACTGCCATAGGTGAGGCACCCACCCTTTTGCCCCCTTCCTCCTTCCCCCGCCCCCGTCGCGTCGGCCTTAGCCAACATCGTTAATTTTGATACCTGATATCGGACAGCTTGATATCGTATCGTGAGATCAATATAATGATTCAAGTACGCTGATTCAAGTTGATCCAAGATCAGCTCGCTCCCGCGAGACACGGCCGGCGGTAACTCGATCGCGGCATAACGATTACGCAGTTAGATGAATTGATCTCACAATTTTTTTACGTGCTATTGCCCCATTTCTCGCTAAACAAGCCTGTATTCGAGCGTGATTGAGATTGCCAATAATTCGAATTGAGTAAATCGCAGCTCTGACAATCCGGACTCGTTATACATAGAATGTAATTACGTCTATATGATGTATGTGAGGAGGGAAAGTTTATTTAATCGAAATTATAGTTGATCAATCCTGATGAGTGCCTCATAGATACTTGGATACAGTTTTCAGTATACTCCATTGACGCAATGAAAGCATGTACTTGGCAAGTATGGCTCTTTGGGCCGTTCAAGTAATAGAAATTACGAGTTAGACACACGCATGTGGCACTTAGCTGCTCAATAGCGGACTTGTTTAGCCAAGGGCCGGTCACAAAGAAAGCTCCCGGAGGTCTTTAGGTGCCGTTATTAACTACGTTGACAACGTTAACGAAAGGGACAAAAGGGTGCCAGGTCTCTGGCCCAGTGGTCGTGCGTGACACTCTAGCTCTAATTTCCACGTATACACGTGTCCGTATAATTGCGCAACATTGTTCGCTAGATCCGCTATTGCCGTTTTAAGTCGCGTCGCATGACATTGCATTGCGTTTATTAAAGCGTGAACGCATACGCCAATTAGCGCGAACATGCAAAACAATCGTGAAACTGCATCGCGTGTTTCTTCAGATACTTAATCGTAAAATCCTCACGTGTTTTTCCCCACCATTTCCTGATTCTGAACTCCGTGTCGTATACACGGACGGGAAGCTCTCGGAATAACCGACGGACAAATTTGATTCGCGGTAGTTCGGGAAGAGACACGCTTCAAAATGATCCGAAAAGAAGGAATCAACAAGACTGTAACTTCATTCCGAGACTAGAAGCGGGCACTAAAAGTGGTAATTTAAAATTTTTACAGTTCCTGAGATTTTATAGATCAAAAGGGATACTTGGGCAAAATTTTTAGATTTGCAAGCAACAATAGTGTTAATATTTGTTCCGATATAAGTGATAATACAACACTAATTCTATGTTTATTGCAAAGTTCTTTGACAAAATAAAACTTCTCGAGAGATCAGACAAGCTTTAATTATCTCGAGTTATAAACTTTTAATCTCTATCGAGTACGCGACAGTCAAAATAACAAATTTCTATGAGAGACATTTGGTTGATGTATCCTAAAAATGTTACAAAATCTTTTGGAAACTGTCCAGTAAGATTCGAAGGAATCAAGAATGAATGGAACATCTATATTTTTATTATTTTTCACTCCAATCGAATGATAAAAGAACTACTTTTTGGATCACGGAATCCAATAATGAATATAAAATTCGTCGTTCGAGACAAGTAAATTTCTCTTAGACCATATAAAGTCCTCGAAGCACTACGAGACGTTAGTTCCTGCATATTGCACCCGATAACGCGCATTTCCCAGAGGAGCGCCGCTTTCCACGAATGACGAACCAATCGATAAGAAACCGTGTATATATCCACGGGTATATACATATAAAAATTGCCTCTCGTCAACGTGGAAGCCGATAAAGAGAGCGCGAGAAGCCGGTGCTAATCGCGATGAATGACCGATGCGATGCGTAACGAACGGATGCGCGTGAACGAGTTATTATTCGAATCAACTAAGCGTACATATATTGCCGTCGCGACGACGCGACGACGGAGCGGCGCGTCGATCCATTGACGGCGAGGCGAGGCGATCGATGGCGGATTCGAAGGAATAAACGAATATTAAATGGGAAAGACGATCGGTTTTCAGGTATAATATGCGTGTGCTGGGTGGCGGGCACCCTGGTGGGCTTCCTGCCGCTCTTCGGCTGGAACGCCGGCGAGACCAGCGACCACAGGTGTATCTTTACGAACGTCATGGACTACGATTATCTCGTGTTCCTGTACTTCGCCACGATCATTTTCCCCGCCCTGTTGATCGCGGCCTTCTACGCCCACATATACCGGGTAATCGTAAAACAGGTCAGTCGTAGAAAGAGACTCAGCTAGCAGAAGCTTCTAAAAGATGTCTAAAGGACGTTCGAAAAATTATGTCATCTTTTAGACGTCTTTGTGATGTCTTTAAGACATTTTTTAGGACTTTCTGCTAGCTGGGGAGATTCCGAGAGATTTGCGATAGTGGCGATCGATAGTGTGCTGACGCGCCGCGCGACGCGAAAGATACAGTGGAAAAATAGCCAAAGAGTGTAACGGGTACGACGGTTACAGCTACAGCAAATCGTCACGATGGACCCCAGCGACCCGAGGGGTGGCGGTGCCGTTCGCCATCTCCGGGTCCTCCGTCTCCCCGGCCGTTTGGGCGGTAACCATCACCAGACGCCTGGGACGATGCTGCGTTGTCTTGGCGCGGCGCGCAAACGGGAAGTCAAGGCCACGCAGAATCTCTCCTGCATCGTTGTCTTCTTCATCGTCTGCTGGTTCCCGCTGTACACTATAAACTGCGTGATGGCCTTCTGCCCGCGGTGCGAGGTGGACGACTTCCTCATGAAATTTTGCATCATCCTCTCGCACATCAACTCGGTTGGCAATCCCCTCCTCTACGCCTACCATCTCAAGGACTTTCGCATCGCCCTCAAGAACTTCGTCTGGCAGCTGCTCTTCCCGCACAGCGACGTCAAGTCCAGCGTGATCAGCGTGATACACGATCGGGGTTCCCTCGTTGGTTCGCAGAGGCAGCTTCAGAGGCGATTCAGCGGCTTCGATCAGCCGAGGAGTCAGAGACCGAGCTTGCTGCGCCAGGTACATTGATATTTAAACTGCTTACAAGTTCTGTAAATCTGTATATTTTATCGGACCTGTGAAGCAGAGGAAGAAATTCATTTTTTCCAGCATTGCTTATTCCTAAGCGAAAGAAATTAAACTTCTCTATTTCTAATTTAAGAATAATTACTTAAAACGGACAGAAATAAACTCGCTACTTTGTAGGAAATTATGTATTCTTATACTCTTCTATCTGTTATTCTCATTCTTCGTTTAGTTTCATCTTTACATCTTCATCAGTACAAAAAGTCTAAACTATACCTACATAATGTTGTCATCTTAATTTGAAGAACTAAAGACAAGTATAAAAAAAGTTAGAGAAAGAACTAGCATTAAAAGATTTACTATAGTAAGATTGTAGGCAAATTGCCCAAAATACGGAAGATTAAGATTATTATATTAACAGCGAAAATATATAATCGGGACTATTTAAATTATTAAAATTTCGCACAATGTTTACCTTGCTCGATTCGATCTACGTTTCGCGATCTATCTCCGTTCTATTTACTTACCGTCACAGGTGATCGATGGGAGCAGAAGGATGGACAACGCGTGTCCCGAAAGGCGCGTCTCGTCGATCCGGGAGAAAGAGACGTGTCAAAACGCGGATGTCGGTGCTGCGGTCGGAAGTCCAATTCCGATCAGCAACTCTACGTTAGCGACGAACAAACGGATGAGCGAGGAGGAATTGGTCAGCGACGGCGATATCGTCGACCGCAACGATGACGCGACTGACCGCGGAAGTTCCACCTCGTTGGAATTGCGAACGTACAGGTCGCTGGCACCACTCCTGCCCGCGGAGGAGGACCACGTCGAGGAAACGCCGCCCGCGTCGATCTTCGTGATCGAGGCCGACGTGGTGAATCACGCCTCTCCCGATCGTCTCCTCGTCCTGGAGGAATCTCGAGACAGAATCGACGTAGCGGGCGGCTAATAGAGTACCCGCGAAAAAAAAAGTGAAACGAATTCTTTAACAAACTGAACTAGGAAATTTGTATTATTTTTTTCTAAATCTCTCGATGTGCCGATTTATTTTATTATTAGTTACTCGTCGAGCGTGCCATATAGCGTACATGTTTTAGCGTTTAAATAAATTATATTAAAATGTATTACGTTGAAATAGAGCGACAGCGATGCTAGAGCTGAAGCTTCGAAAAGACAAAGTGACAAAGGAGTGTGGCACGTCTGACTTTCCTTTTTTTTATCATGTAGGTATTGTATTTAAAAAGTAGACTAAAGGAAGGCAAATATTGAGAAACCCACGAGGGCACCTGAGGAGAAGGGACGTGTTCTCGTACGCACGGCGAGGACAATGCTGCATCGTGTGTGGCGATTCAGTGGCAAGATTGTAGAGTGATAAGTATTCCGATGGGGGAGACAATATACTTAATTTAACTTGTACAATAAAACAGTGCACGTTGTGATTGTGTGTCTACGCGTGTCTACGTAGAAAATTTGCACGAACATTGCACCTGTGCAATACTCTTAGTGCATATCATATGATTGATATAACTAGACGTTTGTGCGCCATTCCTCCCGTTTCCTCTTCATATTCTTTACATGCAATATTTGCTAGATTGTATACGCGTTCGGTACATATATTGATACTGATAATTAATCTTCTAAAATTACTGAAATGATATTTTAATCGACAAAATTATCGCGATATATACAAATAACAATAAACAGCTGTATCTGTTATTAAAAGTTAACAAAGTTCAGCAAACCGCTCTCAGAAATGATAATAAATAGATGACAAAAATTTCAGTCATCAACCACTTTTAGCCGAACTTTGCTTTAACAGAATATCGGCCTGATGTAAGTCCCCCTTCAGAGAAAATAAGATGTCCATCAATTAAATTTTTAGTGGACAACAAAATTTTCAGCAAAAAATCTTTGTTAAATATTGATCTATTATCAAACGCCTTAAAAATGCATGGTTTTTCTCTCCCCGAAATACGGACAGTACAAGTTTATTGTTAATAAAAACCGCGAGATCTTGTAAAATTAACAAATATTGTGCGAATGGATGTCGGTTCAATTATTTTAATACTCACCCCTCTTCTTCTTTATTGCCTTTCGTGTCTATTTATTTTAGCGTCCAGATTATGTTAAATCTCAGAAAATTACTTGTGTCGTTTTTGATTGACAACTTTGATCAAGTTGTCAATCAAAAATGGCACAAGTAATTTTCTTTGTAAAATTAACAAATATTGTGCGAATAGATGTCGGTTCAATTATTTTAATACTCACCCCTCTTCTTCTTTAGATTTTATAGAATCTAGAGTCCTCGATCAACCTTAGAACGCCTCATCGTAACGATTATTATATAAGAAAATAAAATCGGTCGAAAAGGATATTATGTGTATAATAACGCATGCGAATTTTTAGCGTACAATAAGCACCCTGTGTATCGCGACATATTATGAGCGAATGAAATCAATGTCGATCATTAAAAAGCTTCGCGCGTATAATCCATATGTGCACTCGATGCTTCGATGTCACCCAATTTCTCGTAGAATGCCTATAGGCAAAAATTTTTCTTAGAATTCTTTACATAATTTTTCAAAGTTTCTACATAAATCTCAGAATTTCTCAGCATAATTTTATAACTTTTTAGAAAATTTCTCTGATTTTTTTTATATATAAATTGAAACATTTGTCAAAAATACTGAGAAAGTTTACATCTTTTTTAAAGTTCTTTTTACATATGTGAATTTTGAAATATTTTAAGATTTTTCGTTCAATAATTTCCGAAGAAAACTTATAAAATCTGAAGGGGTTTAAGATGTTTTTCAGAAATCTTCATAAATTTAAAATATGTAAAAATCTTAATCATGCGATATTATAAAACTTTTCATCAGGATATACCCTCGTTTATATTTTTTCCGGTCAATGCGACGCATTCATATTCTTATTGTGTCTTATTCCAGCCAAAATATTCGTGATCTGTGCCCGTCAAACAAACAGTGAACTTCTCAAAGTTAGATTTGCATTTACGTCTCGTATGGACGTATCCCATACGCTCTGACTACATTGTTTTCTTATTACGCCCAAAATTGTTGTACTAAACATTCAATTCCGTTTAACTTGTGTTCCTTTTAATTCTTTTTATGCGACGCAGCAGATATTGTATTTTTCTCAATTTGGCAGTAATGACCATTTCTATCCAATGCAGATTAACTTTAATCTCGGTGTAATTTTTTATATAATCTTTTCTAATTCTTAAAACTAAAAAAAATAAAAAGTACGTTAAACCAAGCTTAAAGTTAATCTATCGTACATTAGGAGAAATGAACATAAAGTCTGTTTCTTGTAGCTATATTGTGTTATGTTAGCTTTCTTAAAATGAGATAGATGTACAATTAAATGTCGGAGGGTAAAAGGGAGAAGGCTACGCATCAAAGATTATAAAAGATTACGAAGATTGGAAATTAGAGTTTAATAAAATTATTTGATTGGTCAAATGTTAATCTTCCGTTGCAATCCCCAATCTCTAATATGTAGTCCTGATGATACGGGGCCTAAATGTTTGTAACTAAACTTTCTACCTGGTAAAATTTTGTTATATAAAAACACAAATATAATTATATAAAAAATCCATATATGCTTTCTTTCTTATTTATAATCTTTGTTTGTATATAAAAAATAATAATTAAAAAAATAATTAAGACGATAATTTTCGCATTGGATAATTTACCCATATACATATAATAATTATACATAATTAAATGCAATAATCGTATACAAAATATGATTATCCAATAAAAAAAAACAATGTAAAAGTTCTAAATATTTTTCAATTTTTATTATTTTTTTATATATTTATATTTATATTTTTATATATTTATATTTATATTTTTATATATAAAATTTTTTATAGAGTATACTTTCCCATCTGTTCTCCTTTTTCTCTTCAATCTAATTATACACCTTCGAATTTGTCACGTCCCTGTGTTCCGTCTGACAGCTGTACCCGATCAATATTTAGCTCAGCTGTTGCCAATCGATTCGGGCCCGGGTAGTTGACAGGAAGGGATTCGTCTTCAAGATATCGGGTGTCAACTGAAGCGGACATTTCGAAATGCTCCAGGATCTGATTTGTGGACGTATAAATTACCGGCTTTGCGACTTATCCATTCTTTACCTATTCTTTTGTTCTTAACTTTCCTAAGTGTTTTCGTGTAATAAAGTGCTATATGAAATTAATGCCATGCTTTTTGTAAAGCCGCGTTTACACTAGTGTAGGGTGTCGCAAACGCCTCTCGATTAGGTATCTCGGGCGTAACGTCATAATATAATACGTCTATAGACCTAGTATTGTCATGATAAATTGTATATATTATTTTATACTCTTCGCGAAAGCGAAAGTGCGCAGCCTGAGCCGGCGCGCCCGACATATTCGAGATCCAAGACGCAAGACGCAACAAGTGGCGGGACTGGCGGGAGAACATGGCGGCGGCCATAACGTGCTGTGCGGTGTTCCCGCCTTTTTCGATTTGCCACACCGAGGAACCAAGGAACCACGTACCGAGGATCGCCTGGGATCGCCAGGTGCGTCAGGCTGGAGCAGAGCAGGCTGGAATCACTCGGAATGCGTCGGGAAGCGCCGAGATACAGCTGTAGACGCGCGGGTATCGAAGAACGATCGAGTTGACGCTTCGAACGAGGCATGGATCCGAGCGAGGTCGAGTTCCTCGGCGAGAAACAGCTGGTCAGCATAGTGCCGAACTTCAGCTCCGACGTGATCTACCTGATCTCGGGTTCGGTGGGGCCGTTTCGCGCCGGTTTGCCGGTCAAGGTGCCGATCTGGCTCGCCGCGTGTTTGAAACAGAAGCAGAAGTGCCGTATCGTCAGGCAGGAATGGATGGACATCGAGAGTCTGAACGAGAGGAAGGAGATGGAAAAAATGTCCAAGTAAGTCGATCCCTTTGTGCCAGAATTTCTCGTTACTTGTCCGATGACGTGACGTCCTCATTTTCCTGTCAACCTCGGTATTTCACCCGAGTATTTCGACGTATACGTTCAATCCAACTCCGTAGTATTTCGATTTAACTCGATACGCCTATATTTATAAAAATTGCAATGTACCAGGTTGTTCACGGCGATGCCGAGCAGTCATTATATGGACGAGAGTCAAATCTTGCTGAACGTGGCGAACGATGATATCCCTGACGCGGATGGAATAAGAATCGCCGTGAAGGTAAGCAGGATCGACTGGATGTAATATACAAGAGATAACACTTGTACGAAAGATAGACGTCATATGTGGAAGTTTGTGCATTGTAGGACATATGGGATATAAGAATGTCTAAATTGCGCACATCCGTGGACGCTTTTGTGAAGAGCGAGGGAGTGCACGCGAGATTGGATCATCTGACCGCGATGGAGATCAATGGAATACGTCCGCTGCTGCCACACGCGTTAGATCAAATGTTACGGATACAATCTGTGAGTACAGTTTTACAAATAGCATATCTATTAAGGCTGCGATCCACTTGACGCTACAAATGCTTTGGAGCGTTCTTCTTCTCCTTCTTTCTTCATTGAAAGAAAAGAGAAGAGGAATGCTTCGAAACATTTGTAGCGTCAAGTGGACCGCAGCTTAAATTAGACAGCAGATATTGGCATATTTAATTTCCTTATTATACGTAATACAGGAACTCTGTCAACTTTATTGTCACTGGACACTATTATTGCCATAGTTTTTGTCATATTGCAATAATTATTTTATATATGAGCTCATTTCTATGGTCTTTTTGCAGGCAAATGCAGGAGAAATGAATTCCCAGCAGCAAAGCAGCAGTGGGTACGGCAGTATATAAAGCTAGTAATATATATTACTTATTAATTATTTATATTAGTGTTATTGTGATATTATAACTAAAAAGATGTGAATATTTTTATAATTTTTATATAAACACTTGATATGTTATATTTCAATATTCAATCGTATTGGATCATATGGTATAAATGCAGGAAATGAAGTGCAAGATATATTGCATTTTATATGTGAATATTATATAACGCTTTTATTAGCCAACTTATTTTCAAATTGTTACATACATTCACTAGCATATCTCGATCACATTTTCTCATTATTACTACGTGTAATAAGTGCGTATTTACATTGGTGCATCTGTCTCGATTGCTCTTCGTTGTCCATTATCGTATGGCATTTCGCATTTATATTTACATTTGCTAAGCCTACAGTACACACAGTCCCTTAACAATCTTTGATTTTTTTCTCCTTAAAAGTAGTTGCGCGATCGTAAGGCCACTCATTAGAAAAATCAAGGCGTCTCGCTCTCATTCGTTAAGAGTTTTCGAAAATATACATTTTTCGTAAGAATTATTAGAAAGACAGCAAAAGTACTCGCAAAATGTCGCATAATAATAAGTAATTAATATTAAATTTTTGTGTGTCTTGATTACACGCCACATACGATAAAGAAATTAGATAAAAAAGAATAAGAAAATCGAAAATGTTAAATGCATTCTGGCGCATTACGCATTTGGCAATGTTAATAAATTAATTATTATTACAATTATCGGGGCAATATTTTCAATAACATGAGTTAATAAGTGAAAACTATTATGACGCAGACAGGCGGCAGCATAGGTTTCCGTGCGTTTTCAGTCGATTTTAATTTGAACTACCGTGCATTATGTAAAACGACATAAGTACCGTACGTCTCGCTCAAGCGAGTACTCAAAAAATATCACATAAGGCGTTCATAGTCTGATCTTATATCTAAGATCGTCTTGAGTCTGGTTGAGATTGGCGATCTTAAAACTCCATGCAACCAATGAAGCGATCGTACAACGCCTCGAGATCGTACTCAGGACGATAAGATCTGGAATATAAGATCGGACTATGAATGCCGGTCATAAAATCCGCGTTTCCAGAAGTGTAACGTTTCAGAATCATTCCCGTGTTCCCTTAAACTGCTACGATTTTACTGGGATCCACTTTAACTCGAATGAACATGGTATCGTCTTTGACGAAGTGTCGTTTCTTCACCATCTCGTGAGAAACGAATCTCGGGAAGCCAAAACCAAGAGAATCCGGTTCGCGGCTCGGTCGCTGAAAATTCTTCCAGGTCGGGTCCGGTATGAAGCTTTCCACAATGTTGCAGGCCTTTTCCGCGATGACCGTCTGATCGAACATCGTGAACGACACGCTGTGCGAGAACGGCCATCGCAGGAGCGCGTCGTATTCGCCGGGTAGGATCTTTATGTATATTGAAATGTGACTGCCCTCTCCGGTCCCGTTTCCGTTTAAGAAAATGGAAGCCTATAAAATCGAAAAATTCTTTTAGGAAATTAACACTCAGCATTTAATTTCCTGGTTCCAATTATCTGGACAGCACGAGTGCACGAAAATCCATAAGATAATCAAGGCAGTACAGTTCTATTTTGTATATTTATTTAAGAGACTTTTAACTGCTTTGAAAAATACGTGAAATTTAGTGACTCTATTACGTGTGTATATCTCTTATAATTTCTATAATAATTATAAAATCTTATTTAAGGCTATTATCTCACCAGTTGCAATCATACTGAATTTTTATATTGAATATATAATTTACGTTTACAATATATGTGGAATGATACGATTGATGTTCGAGAAACTCGTGTACTCATATAATATAAAAAATTAATTTGACATGACGCGGCGGCCGCTCCTAAGGCAGAGTATCACACAAGTTTTACGGTTCTTTGTTAAGATGCAGCAACATGAGAATGGATAGTAAGTGTCGGCACGAAAATTGAGTCGAAAATTATAATTGAAATCGATCACTGATTTATATATAATATTCAATATACATACCTGTAACTTATATCCATATTGACTAGTATAAAAAGGTGGACTGACAAGCTCCATTCCTTCCTTCGCTTTCGCTTCCGACATCTTGGCGGCATAATCCGTGACCTTCCATATAAGCGTGCCCGTGTAATTTAACGACAGCTTGCTAATCGCTGATTTCAAGCTCGTAATTTGATGTTGCTGCTTCGTCACCAGGCTACACATGAGGCTTAGATGCATCTTTGCGGATTCTTCCAGATGTTTATCCAGCGAGAACCTATTTCCCTGTTACAGAAAGATCGTGGCGTAACGTTTTTTGAACTAGAATAAAAATAATAGGCTTCTCGTTTAAACACAAACAAATTATAAATAATTTAATAGAATTAATTTCTCAAAGTTACGAACATTTAAAATTGCAACGTCTCATTGAACATTAACCGATTGATTTCTCTCTTTTTCATGGTATTCACTCGCTTATTCTGGCGAAAAAATATTGAAAATTGTACCCAGAAAATATTAAGGTATGGAAAGTTTGTTTTAATTCGTATTAAATATATTTAGTTATACTTTGGAGTGATGGCCAGGATATTTGATACATAAAAAAATAAAAGAATATTAAAAATCGATCTCTCATTTCAAACATCGGGTATTCTATTTCGCAGAAATAAAACCTGTTTCAATACGTTTTGATTTATTTACCCTTTATGCAAGCGGATATAAGCTATAACGTGCGAAAAAATAATACCTTGAAGCGGCAACCGGCGTCCTTGAACGTACAGGAAAGTAGATGCGTGGTGCAATGATCCTTCAGATGAACCTCGAGATCCTCTCGGGGCAGCACCGCGGTTTCGCAACGATGAGGACATGCAACCGGGAATCGGCCACATTTCGCGTGATGTGCGCCGAGCGTATCGAAAACGAATTCTTTGTTACAGTAACGACAGGCGACTAGTCTCTTGGCGCACTCCCCCAGCTTGTGTTGGCCGAGGTGTCGCCTTTGCACCTTCATGCCGCACTTGTTTTCGCAATAAAGAGGCTCGTAACCGCATGTCCCCGTGTGTTTCTACAAACATTGCGTTTTTACAATTATACTTTCTAAAATCAATAACTCTTGAAGGCATCTCCAGTAGAAATAACAAATTTTTAAAAACTGCTAAAAATTTTTAGCAATTATTTTGCGCGAAAATAATTGAGAAAAAAAAAGGAATTTGGTAAATAGGTGACGATAAAGTTATCTTTCGATTGTTACTGACGATCGTTGAAAGCTCTCTGAGATCTCGTTAATTCTCGCGCGTGTGGGAATTGGGAATCATTATACCTCTAAGGTGTGTCCGGTAAATTCTTTGGCACAAAAGTCGCAACGGGCTCTACGCTGAGCGCAGGTGTACTTCAGATGGTCCTCCATGAGTACGCGAGGAATCATCGCCCCGCATTTATTGCCGCAAGGAACTGCATCGTGCTTACACGTGTTCAGGTGCGCCTATGATAAGAGGGAAATAATCTAAATTTAGTCGGACCGTCGAGGCTCATTCACATTCTATATGTAATATACCGAGCACTCTTCACGATGACTTTACCTTCAACTTCCTCAGCTCGTCCGACCATTTGCAGCCGTCCTTGTGATGTATGCAGTATACGATGGAGCCCATTATTGCCTTTTCTGCCTCCGTGTCTTGGAAGTTCTGGAAAACACCAAGACGAAGACGTTATTTGCCTTTGTCCGTTCGCCATTTGTCGAAACGTAAAACGTAAAACCGTCGGTGCGCGTATACCGTAACCCGAAATGTAAACGTCCGGATTATTAATGGGTCAAAATCTGTAGTTTTCGAAGAATTTTTTTAGCAAAATCCCGTTACCTCGTTTTACGATCCTTCGACCTTTTCCCACGAAATATTTGCAATGACGTGCATTTTTAATTTTTATTCTTGAAATATGTTAAAATTTATAAATAATTAAAGCTCTTCTCTCCACTCGATAAAGGAGGACAACGCGTAATGCGTAATATTGTATTTATACAAATTATAATCGTGAAACGTAACCATAAATTATCGCGGACTATATTTCAGTTTATCAGTGATTTAGAAACAATTTTTTTTTAATTATTTGAACTGGAAATTCTCTTGAACTGTTCGAACGTGCAAATGTGTTTAAAGCTTTGTCTGATCTGTAATAACCAGTAAATTATTTTCGAAGTTGCCACTGGCTGGGCTACATTTCGGAATAGCGAAGTGGTAACACGGGATAAAGCGCCATGGGAGATGCTGCCTCATGCAGAGAACGACGTGGGTGGTGCAAGCCAGGAATATTTTGAACCCATTGTCGCATTACTCGAGCGATTGCACTATAATAGCGATATGTAAGTACACAATTTCGTTTCCAAACTTAATTCAGCAGACAGACGAATGTAAAATATGTTTTGTTTTCAATATTGTCAAACGTAAAACAACAGAACAATTTTCGTCAGTCAAAGTAATACGTAAAAGTTTAGAAATGTTTAATAATAAGTAAATTTATTACGATAAGAGTGCAGTTTAATAAAATCGTTTGCTGTTTCGAATATTTTTGAATGTTTAGAAAGACGTTTAGAACGCAGAGAATTGCCAAAAATATCCCAATTATATCGGATTGATAGACGCTCGACCGTACAAGACAATTAACAACCATGCACGCTAACATGCATGCGAATAACTCTGAGAACTTTAATAATTTCCCGTTTCTCTCTCTCCTCTTACTTTTCCTCTTTCTCTTTCTATTGGATTTATCTGCGGAAATTGTTTTCTTAAAAAGCGTTTCGGGTTTTCAGAAAAAGGAGAGCCGTGAGATACAATCCACCTTTATACCATTCATATACAAATGCATCCGGCGTATAAATGCGTGCGCTCGGAGACGCTTGGAAGTTGAAACCTGCACGACCGGCAAGGTCGAGGAACTTGACGTAAGTAACGCAACCAACCCAGCCGTTTAGAGCGGCGAGATATAAACAGAAAAGAAATGAAAGAGACAAACATGCCTTCGCGCTTTTGAGATCGCTCTCGAACGCTGTATATCGAACGCTTTTTAAAAGTGGAACGCTTTGAAAGAAGAAAAAACGGAGAAGAAATTGGAGAACCTGAGCTATATCTTGTCTCAAAATAAATCGAAACAAAGAATAAATTACCTAGCGTTTCAAATTCATCATAGCGTAAAGATATAGTCATATTAAACAGGCCGGGAAGAGCGTATTAAAAAAGAGATAGAGTCAATAACAACAAATAACAACTCTGGAACTTTAAAGGAATAAATAAGCAGAAACTCTAGAAGTTTCTGCTCTACTAATCGTAAGTCGTTCATTGTTCCCTCCTCGAATGAGGTTCTTTTCGCGTCGTATTAGGTCCCCAGTATTAGAATACTAGGCACCGCGGCAGGTAAGCATGACGTTACGGTAAAGTAACGGACAATCGATCTTCGCGCGTTCCACTTATTCTTCGTACCTTGCAGCGTCGGATGTTCAATTTTCAATAACTCAGTGTCATTGCCATCATAAACGGTCGATCGGCGTAATTTATGACATTTATGTAATCATAATTTTTTTTTTCTTTGCGTGACCTCGATGAAACAAATGCGATCTAGATCGAGATCCGTGTTGTAACAACGAGCGAGTCATGTAATATTCATGATTGTTTCACATCGTTTTTTGTTCAGATTGCGTAAATATATATTATTACTCGTATTATTTTATTTTATTTTTGGAATTATTTTAAAGGAATTAAAAATCCGATTGATTGCTCGTATTACTTTGATCGGCAGCATTCTCAGGCTGATTACTTAAAGCGTTTTTGACGCGGCTCCACTCATTAAAGTACTCGACAACGTAAATGGTCGCTAAAAATTAGACATTCTCCTTGGCGACTGTTGGCGACATATAAAAAGAATATTCCCACGAATCGACCGTTGCGAACTCGCGCTCCATTCGAAACGACCGAAACGACCGTCTCTTTTCGGTCCCGCCGCCGGAGCGCACGACCTTGGCGAATATATGGTCGAAAATTAACATACGACGTGCGTCGATCTCACCGCCTCCTCATTCCCAAAAACGATCGGATCCTCAAGCGAATAATATCACATCGAGATAATAAATGGATCACTTTAGCTATTCGAAGCGCAGTAATTATGATACAAAACCGCCTTTTTAATATTCTTTCGCGTTCCGCATGGCAGCTTTATCATTTCTTGATCGCCTTACAGATTGCTGACTGCTAATAGAATTATCCATCAGCAGTCAGCAATCTGTAAAGCAGTGTTTTTGATTTGAAATAGAAACAATTCGCGAAACATTGATATAAAAAAAGAGTTTAATGTGGTGTAAACACGAATTATATAATTCACGACACACTCCAAATTTTTATATTTCTCTGACAATGACTGAAATCGATACTTCAAATTTCTATATCTCACATAATCTTATTATCTTATATTCTTCGCATACATTTCATATGTATTTTTATTCGCCTTCTTTTTTAATAGTTTTCTTCTTCTTTCCTCTAAATTAAATTTAATTTCTTCGTACAAGCATCCTTCAATGTACAACAGCAAGAATTTTTAGACAGACTCATGCCTGACGATTCATACAAATTAGATAGGATCGCGTATAGAAAAGTCCGTGAAGAGTAATTCTTATTTCGATATTTTTTCCACGTGCGCACGCGGAATCTTCTCAGACAATTGCGTATACTATCCCAAAAAGGTGTAAATCGAGGAAATCGAGGTAAGATGCGGCGTCCATTCGCGTCGCGAAAGATGAGCGATTGTTTACGTTAGCCGGTCGTAGGAGATGTAGGATGCGCGCAAACGAATGGAGGGTTCTCTCGCGTGGCTTTTCCCCTCGCAGCGAGCTGCGCCCGTGCCGCGGAGCGTAACGTTCTCGTTCACTCGAACGGCGGAGTTCATCGCCGTGTGGAATGCGCGACGAGGAACAATGCGCAAGGAAGAGGAGGAGAACGCGAAGCCGCGCCACTTCCGGCGCAGACCGACCGGGGAACGCCGTCGTCGTCGTCGTCGCCGTGAGAAGAGAGGGGCGACAAAGAGAGAGAGAGAAAGAGAGAAGCCGAGAGCCTTTAATATAACACACTGTAATTACCGCTCGTTGGACTAAACGTAACCCGTCGTCCCGTGCGTTATCTCGCATTCTTGAGCGGTGGAGAAATGACACGGGGGGAAAACCACAAAAGGTCGCGACGATTGCGGACGCGCACGCTCTTTACTTGGACTTGAAACGCACGCGTTCGCAGTTGAATTAACGAAGCGATTCGCCCGAACCGAGAACCGACGACGCACCAGGCGTATCGGTTTAAGAAATTATCCTCCTCGAACGAATAGATGCATCTTCCCACTTTCTAATAGCCTCATTGAATTCGCTAATCTGCGTTATACAATGCGATCGTATCTTCTGCTCGTATATTTCTATACGCAACCAGAGGAAGAACGGCGCGGCGTGCTCCGTTTTAGAGTTCAACGAAGTAACTTCGAACGGGATTGCTTCCGATGAAAATTAGTAGGCATATTTGAAATTTGAATTTTTTCTAGTCGTAGGAATTGTAACTTTGAATTCAATTCGATAGACTCGCTTAATTGAAGAATTGATAACGAATGGATCTTCTCTTCAGTTCTTTTAGACGAAAATGAGTCGACAAGCTCGACAAGATCAATACTTTTAATTATTAATTAATAATCTAATTAATTGTATATCATAACGGTCCTGTTTCACTTATTATATTATTGTTAATTAATAATTTTTTTCGCGAACAAGAAAGATAAAATTCGAGATCTCGGAAATTCTCATTCACTTTGTTAAAACTGTGTTTGCTAACATCAGTTAACTCCAATTTAACGTATTTCATCTTAGATATATCAGGGATCCGGAAATTGCGGTGAGCAAGTCAATTATGAAATACTTGGGGGTTCTTTTAACCGAGCACTTGGCGTCACCGCCGTTCGTTGGATCGAGCGGGACGCCGATATATCGTCCGCGCGAGGAAGGAGCCGCGGCAACGGGAGGAGAGGTCGAACGACTTCGGAAGCGGTCGAGGCCATCTGTTACGCTCGGTTCCCACGCTTCCGCTGCCCGCCGCGCCGGTCCGGTCGTGCCTTACAGCCGGCATTTTATTCCAGTGAGACGGTACCGAGCGCTCGCGCACGAAATTCCACGAATTTATACGGGCGCGAAGCGCGAAGAAAAACGCGAGCTTCGTCATCGTCGTCGTCGTCGCCGAGTGTTGGCGCAACATCTGGCGACAATATTGAAACGCGGCGGCCGTCATGAAGAGAACCGTTCTCTCCCGGCGCGGAACTCTGCATCTCGGAGTCAACGGTCCCGACGTAATCACCGTAAACTTATTCCCGGTGTCTCCTCGCCGGAAACGACGTTGATATATCGGAAACCGTCGTTTCCGTCGATGCACTTAACGGCATATCTCTTTTTCTTTCTCCGCGCGCAGTTTACATTATTATTGTCATCGAGAAAATTATCGTGACAAAAAAAAAAAACAAATTTTCCGTTTAACGAAATGAAGACAAATATGTGATTATCATACGTGTTCGCACATATAATGTCTTTTTTATTCTGATCTTCCGATCGTGCAGCCTGTGCAAAAATATGTTAGATACTTCGATATTTAGATAAGGAAGCATCATCGTTATTCTACTAACGGCTAACTTTGCAAGGTGATTAATGAAAAGCCAAAAAGAAACGGGAAAACGAAGCAAAAAATGTAATAAAAAAAAAGATTAAAAAGAAGTGTGTCAAACCTCGTCGGTAATTATAGGCGCTTTGTCCATGGTGTCGTTGATCGGGCTGGGCGGTGACGTGGGGCTAGCGCTGGGGCTTACGTGGAAACCCTTGGACTCCTTGGCGGGTCTCTGAGGCGACACCCTCGCCGGGAAGCTCAGGGTCTTGGTCCACTGCGACAGACCGCGCACCATCTTCAAAGTTAAAGGCACTAACGTCACTCGCGCAACCGAGGTGACTCGGGTCCGCCGCTGGTACCATTCAGTTTCGCGGCTCGCGAAAGAGGGACATGGTCGTCCGCTTGTTTTCCGTTTAAATCGCGTTCCCACGGGTCCGAGTGTGTGCGTGTGCGTGATTCGCGCCTCTTACTCGCGATCCGTTTCCCGAGAAGCCGAGGAGGCTCGAGCCGATTCGAGTGTCGCGGTCGTGACACTCGACAGGAAGTTGCGTGCCCGTACAATGTAATCTGACTTGACTCGACCTCGGGTAAACCTCGAGAAACCTGCTAAACGCGCGGACCTATTCGAGCAGACTGCTCACGGCTTGGTAACGCGCAAGCAAGACCGAGCTCACTGATGAACTGACACGCAGGCTGTGACTAGCTCCACAGCTCCCCTGGACCCCATCATGGTGTCGATGGGGACGACGAGGACGGTAGTGGTAGTGGTGGTTAGACCGATGGTGGAGGAGGAAGAGGCGGAGGAGGAGGAGGAGGAGGAGGAGAAGAAGGAAGAGAAGGGGGAAGAATCGGTCGCGAGCCAGAAGAGCCGTTGGAGCGACCGGGAGACTGGCTCTGCGAAGGATGGTGCATGATGCGATCATGCGAATGAAGTTTCCCAGTTTCTCGTTCTACCCGCGTTATCCCCCGTAACTTCCTGAAATCTCTCCCGAAAGAGTGTGGGAACTCGGAATGATGAATGAGAAAGGCGATCGCGACCGAGCGATTTGTTTCGTGAATTGTAATTCGATATGTTACAGTCTACAGATTCGTAGAACTTGTTGATAAACTTGTTGACTTCGTCAACGTTGATAAATTGATTTAATTTGGCTAGTTAGTTTAGGATCTTATTTTTAAAAGGTGGAAAGAGATGAAGAGGACTAATTGAGTTAAGATTAAGGCTAAAAGATGACCGGGGAAACCGGTCTTTAAACCAATTCGCCCCCGTAAGAATAGACTTTTGTTTTGGGAGAAGATAACCGTAGGAAACATGATAACTGAGAGAAGACCACTGTCGGGAAGCGGAAAGGAGGGAAGGACAGGTCGTGAATGAAGGAGCATGTGCATGTAAAACAGGAATCCGCTCTCTCTCTCTTTCTCCTCCTCTCTCTCCTTCTCAGGCGGCGAACAGGTACGATCCTGCACAATCCTGCAGAGTACCTTTCAAAACGTTTGCCTAGAACTTAGGTCATTCATTCCATGATAATTAAGACATCGTTTTGCTTTTAATTTCGTAACAAAGTACTTAATTATCAAAATATCTTCCCTTTCCACCTTGCTCCCGATTAATTATCGACGAGAAATTTTCGCGGTATTGCGCGACTCTCTGACATAAAGAAACTGATCGGCGTGCGAAAGAAAGCCTTAAAGAAGAACCTGATTTCCGTCTCGATACCGGAATGACCCTTTCGGAGACAAAGAGCTCTATCAACGTGATCGGAAAGGAAAGAGAGAGAGATACCTACGCGTGTTGCCAACTGCAGGTTTGTGGAGTAGCGAGCGGAGGTGGAGGGGGCGAGAAAGAAAGAGAGATAAGAGGGTAGGTGGGGAGATTAACGACATCGCCGGACCTATATTGCTGCCCGGTAGGCACGCCAATGCACACCGTGCATTCAACTGTGCGCGGACCGGATCTAGCCCAGCTGCGGCCTTCTTCGACCTTCCCCCCACCGATGATCGGCGAGGGGGGAACAAGCCCCGGCTCTCTTGACCGGCGGCCGTCCACTCCAAATCTTCTCCTGACAATCGCGAAAGCGATCCGCCCGTGGATCACGGGCTTGCATGGGTTTTACAGGCCACGAAGCCGAAAGGGTGTCGTTCGGCGGTCGAATAAATATCTAGGCGTGCACGCGACTCACTCGTCGAACCTTCGCCATCCGAGCGTTGCTCCTCGAATCGCTTTGGAGCGTAACGATTATTACCGCTATTATACTCCTTTATCTTTTAATATATATATCTCCGTTTGTCTAGCCCTCTACATTTTCACCGAGCCGTTCACGAATTTAAGAAACTTTTTGTATAGAGATATGTGTAAATAAGATAACTGAGATATGTATTTTTCTGAAGATGTCGGTCTTTAAGAATAGATCTTTTATATCGT